TTTTAGTAGAGACGGGGTTTCACCATGTTGACCAGGATGGTCTCGATCTCTTGACCTCGTGATCCACCCGCCTCGGCCTCCCAAAGTGCTGGGATTACAGGCGTGAGCCACCGCGCCCGGCCGAGTTTTTCATTTTCATTGGTTCATTTGTAGTTGGATGAGGCCTGAATTCTTTGTTGTCAGTCAGTCCATCAATCAATAAATAATTCCCTGGGCCAGGCATGGTGGTTTACACCTATAATCTCAGCACTTTGGGAGGCGGAAACTGGTGGATCCTAGCTAAGGCCAGGAGTTCGAGACCAGCGTGGCCAACATGGCAGAACCCCATCTCTACTAAAAATACAAAAACTAGCCAGGCATGGTGGTACACATATGTAACCCCAGCTACTTGGGAGGCTGAGGCAGGAGAATCACTTGAACCTGAGAGGCAGAAGTTGCAGTGAGCCAAGATCATGCCACTGCACTCCAGCCTGGGTGACAGGGCAAGGCTCTGTCAAAAAATAATCAATTCCCTGTCAAATTCAGATGGGTTGCTTATAAAAATATATCACATAGCATCAGTGAAAATTCATTGAATAAGACGGACGCTGGGGCAAAAGTATGAGGCCTGAAGGTTAAGGTTTGGGCCAGGCTAAGGCCTAGACTGGCCCTCTCCAGCCTGGACTTAATTTTCTGTTTCAGGTGGCATGGTACAATGAACTCTTGCCTCCAGCCTTCCACCTACCCCTGTCAGGACCTACCCTGGCCTTCTTGGTACTCAGCACGCCTGCCATGTTTGACCGGGCGCTCAAACCCTTCTTGCAGAGCTGCCACCTCCAAATGCTGACTGACCCAGTGGACCAGTGTGTGGCCTACCATCTCAGCCGTGTTAGAGAGGTGAGGAAGGCTCTGTAGCTCCCAAACCTACAGCTGCCTCCAGTTCCTACAGGCTCAATGCAGGATCTAGCCTAGGGCCAGAAGCCACATCAAAGGTGAAATGATACCCTAAAGCCAGGCTTGACATTCTGTGGTATTTCCCCATTCTGCTTTCTCACACACCCAGGTTCCACCACCCTCCTCCAGCAGTCCCCCAGTGCGCAATCAGTCTCACTCACCCTACACTGATGGGCAATTATTATGAACCTCAGACCAGGCTTTCCTTGGCCTCCAAGTGGAAAAGGAGTGAGTCCAACATTCCTGCAAGCTAGACCTGCAAGCTTTATCTTGTCCTTTTGAGGACAGAACAATATTCTCCCAACACACACTCACATACACATAATTATGTACACACATATTGGATCTCCCCAAAGCTGGGCCATGTCTTCCATCACACCGGGACTTGTTATTTCCCTTCGAACACAGGCCATTCTGGAAATAACTATAACTATGTCCACATTGGAGCCTCCCAGGTTAAGGTTATGTTTTCCCTTTTGAAGACAGTACCATGTTGACACACGCATACACAGCAAAGGCTCCCTAGGACAAGGTCATAACTTCTCTCGTGCTAACAGTAGCCTCTAACTTGTCCACTATTCCAGAGCCTCCCAGAGCTACAGATAGAAGTCATTGCTGACTATGAGGTACACCCCAACCGACGCCCCAAGATCCTGGCCCAGACAGCAGCCCATGTAGCAGGGGCTGCTTACTACTACCAACGAAAAGATGTGGAGGCTGACCCATGGGGAAACCAGGTGAGAGGAAAAATGTAAATTAATAGAGGCTGAGAGACTGGTAAAGGCCTCTCCCTACCAGGTCCCACATTCCTCAGCCTTCCCTGGATGGATTTGTTTGACACAACTCAGAACAAATAAGCTGTGTCCTGGTCAGGGGGCCGTCCTGTCACATGCTTTCTGTTGTCTAACTGGGGACTCATGAGGTGAGAAAACCTGGTGTGCAGAACTGTCTTAGGATAGAGGGAGAATAGCAGTGTTCAGACTAGTGAGACTGGGAAGCCTAGCCCTTCCTTGTGCCCAGGGTAGTTTATGAAAGGGTTTGCCAAGAGGGAGACAGAGGTTTACGTAGAGTCAGCGTACACTGAGTGGGGAAATAAGTGAACAGGCCTAGCTTGCAGTGATAGCAGTTGGACTTGAGGACCTCCATGACCTTGATTTTCTTCACTGTCTCCCCAGCACATATCAGGTGTGTGCATACACCCCAGATTTGGGGGCTGGTTTGCCATCCGAGGGGTTGTGCTGCTGCCAGGGATAGAGGTACCAGATCTGCCGCCCAGAAAACCTCATGACTGTGTACCTACAAGAGCTGACCGTATCGCCCTACTTGAAGGCTTCAATTTCCACTGGCGTGACTGGACTTACCGGGATGCTGTGACACCCCAGGAGCGCTACTCAGAAGAGCAGAAGGCTTACTTCTCCACTCCACCTGCCCAACGATTGGCCCTATTGGGCTTGGCTCAGCCCTCGGAGAAGCCTAGTTCTCCATCCCCGGACTTTACCATACATACCCTCAAGACGCCTGGGAATCCCAGCAGAGCCCGGAGCTGGCTTAGCCCCAGGGTCTCACCACCTGCATCCCCTGGCCCTTGATAGCTTTCTCCCATGTTGACTGATTTATGGTGGTACCTGCTAGGACTTAATTGGCTTTGGCAAGCAAAGGTTTTGAGTATAAGATTACTTCTATCAATATCTTCCGCGAAGATAACAAGCTCAAGGAAATTAAGTTTGGCCAAGATAAAGGCCAGGGAAGATTCAGAATTCTCATCTGCCTTTGGCTCACGCCTATAATCCCAGCACTTTGGGAGGCTGAGGCGGGTGGATCACGAGGTCAGGAATTCGAGACTAGCCTGGCCAACATGATGAAACCCTGCCTCTACTAAAACTATAAAAAGTTAGCCAGGTGTGGTGGTGCAAGCCTGTAGTCCCAGCTTCTCTGTCAGCTGAAGCGGGAGAATCGCTTGCACCTGGGAAGCGGAGGTTACAGTGAGCCGACACTGCACCACCGCACTCAAGCCTGGGTGACAGTGTGAGACTTTCTCCAAAAAGAAAAAAAAAAAAGAGTGCCTATCTCATATGGGGACTAAAAGAACACACATAAAGCACTTTGGAAAAGTACCTGGGATCGCTTCTTGGCCTTTTGGCTAGGATTAAGTGTAGTATCTGTTCTTATCAGTTTAATTAATAAAAAAAAAAAAATCTGCTATGTTGGCTGTTACCAAAGGCCTGGAAATTCTGTACTGCTGCTCATGGGTGTAGTCTGGGTTCTAGAGGAGGGGACAGATTGGAGTAGCTGATGAACACAAGTGGCTGGAATAGCACCATATGATCCACAGAAGTCTCCTCAGTTCTGAATCTACCCTGGCCTTGAGGGCCCAGAAGAATAACTTCTCCCAGCTGACAACCTCTGAGGAAAATGACATTATGAATGAGGATCAAAACTGGCTTTCTTTGGCCAGGCACTGTGGCTTTCACCCGTAATCCCAGCACTTTGGGAGGCTGAGGTGGAAGATCGTTTGAGGCCAGGAGTTCATAACCAGTCTGGGAAACAGTGACACTGAAAAAGACTATCTGTAATCAAGGCTAGAACCCAGGAAAGGCTAAGAATTGCCCAGTACTATATACAACTATTACCGAAAGCCCTACCCAAGACCACAAGCCCTTTCTGTCTTCCTCTTTCTTCCATCATTTCAATAGGAACAGAAACCTCCAACTCTTTTTTTGAGACGTAGTCTGGCTCTGTCAGCAGGCTGGAATACAGTGGCACGATCTCAGCTCACTACAACCTCCACCTCCCGAGTTCAAGCGATCCTCCTGCCTCAGCCTCCTGAGTAGTTGGGACTATAGGCACGCACCACAATGCCCAGCACATTTTTTGTATTTTTAGTAGACAGGGTTTCACCATGTTGGCCAGGATGATCTCAATTTCTTGACCTTGTGATCTGCCCGCCTTGGCCTCCCAAAGTGTTGGGATTACAGGAATGAACCACTGTGCCCAGCTCCTGTCACAAACCAGGTACCAGGCGTTTATCAGAAGACGCCAAGTTTCTGGTTCCCATGCAGCCCTTTGAATAGCGTGTTCAAGTAAAAATAGGTGTCCAAGTAATCACATTGAGACTTAACTGGCAACCCAGCCTGTGGCATTAAGTCGCAGTGGTCCCGCCAACACTATGGCAGGGCTTATTCTTCTCCCTCACGTGTAGTGAAACTACAGCTAATGCTCGACTTACGACCACGGTCAGGACCGCAGGCCAGTCCTAACACGATTTGGTCGTAAGTTGAGTAGGCTATATGTACGGTTGAAATGGTGCAAGCGGTGATGGTAGTGCTGCCGGAAGCTGGTCCGCACTGTCGTACACCCAGCTGGGCAACGTTTGCGCTGCCAGACGCGGAGCAGTCGTGGCTAGCGATTGTGGTCGTAAAGTCGAATGGTCGTAAGTTGCATAGGTGGTAAGTCGATTAATACCTGTAAATGTAACACTCAATTCCCTTCCCTGTGTCTACCTGTGTCAATATTATTCCCCGATTCTTAGGCAGCTCTCCTCATTTTCCCCTAAAGAGGAAAAGCAAAGAGCAAATTCCTCTTAAAATCAAAGGCTAATATGTCTCCTAAAATAGAGACTCATCAAGGTCTCAGTTCAAGTTTAATACAAACTACAAAAGATCAATGGGTTGATGCCCTCTACTGATACATCATACAAATCAATGGCCTGCCCACAACACAACTCCGGCCATTCCTATTGTAGGAAGAAAGGCTGGTCTCTCCCACTCTCTATAGGAAAGGACTCCCTTGTAACACACCACAATTCAGCTGAATCTGAAGTCTTGTGTTTTACTCATGGGGGAAAAAAAATACAAAAGAGGTTTTGTTCTCATGGCTGTCCACTGCAAGCCTGGTATAAACAGCCCGCTCACTTCTGTTTGGAGAAATATTCTTTGCTCTTTTGGACATCAGGCTTGATGGTATCACTGCCAGGTTTCCAGCCAGCTGGGCACACTGCAAGAGAAAGGTACCACTAATTAATAACCTCCTCAATGGTGTGCACCATCCTATGGACAAAACCAGTTCTGCACCCTAAAGGGCCTGAACATTTAGAAATCAGGAAACCTACCCCTGCAATCGGTCTAAGATCATTCAGCCTTTTAGTGTAAGCTAACCATTTTACAAACATTATGTAATTTAATCACCACAGCCTTAAGATGTTATTATTCCTAATTGATTCATACAGCACTTGAAATTTAAATGTTACACCAAAAAGGCAAAGTTCAAATTTGCCAACATTTCCCAATCCTTAAGGGGGAAAAAAAAAGCTAAATAAATGACACACATAGGACTATGTAAACCCTTAGCACTAAACTGCTGTTTCCCTCTGACAGCCCTTTAGAGCTCTGAAGGCAACAACCTCAGTTTGCCTTCTCAGCATTCTTTTTTTCTGAGGCAGAATTTTACTCTTGTTGCCCCCAGTCTGGAGTGCAATGGCACAATCTCAGCTCACTGCAACCTCCTTCTCCCAAGTTCAAGCGATTCTCCTGCCTTAGCCTCCCAAATAGCTGGGATTACAGGCATCCCACCACAATACCTAGCTAATTTTTGTATTTTTAGTAAAACAAGGTTTCGCCATATTGGCCAGGCTGGCCTGCTGACCTCAGGTGATCCAACCGCCTCAGCCTCCCAAAGCGCTGGGATTAATGGTGTGAGCCATCAAACCTGGCCCGATTTTTCCACTGCCATGTGCTGTCATATTCTAGGAGACATGCAGTCACCAAAGTACAGTAGAAACAGCAAGTGTCTCAACTGCTCGAGTGAGAGATGGGGAAGCCCTTTTTGGTCCAAGGATATCAACTTCAGATGTCAAGACTCTACAAAAAGACTATAAACAGCTCTCTAGACACAAAGTGTAGATGGAACAAGAGCTAAATAGAAGGACCAGGTGCCATTATTTTTCTAAAATCTCCATCTGATTGTTAGTTATTGGCTACAGTAATATCAAAGGGTCCTAAAGATATACAAGTTGTAGAGTGATATCAATACAGGTCCTAAAGATAAACAAGTTGCAGAGAACAAAGAACAGCATAAAAGCAAAGACTAGGCCAGGCCAGAGCCAGCTAGTGGTTTGCCAATAGGTGCTACAAAGGGACTAAAGAAAATTCCTCTGGCCAGGTGTAGTAGCTCACACCTGTAATCCAAGCACTTTGGAGGCCAAGGCGGGCGGATCACCTGAGGTCAGGAGTTCAGGACCAGCCTGACCAACATGGTGAAAACCCGTCTTTAAAAATAAATAAATAATAGTTTTTTAAAAATTTCTCTGTCCAGAATGAAACAACTGGGCTTTACAGATAAGTAAGACGAATAATGAACCAGAAAAGACCTTGCCAACTCAGTTTCCTGACACTAAGGCCTCATGGATCTTACAATCATACTTGTATTAGTGACAGATCCCCAGTTAAATGTTTCACTCATATCCAACAGTGGTGGATTATTTTTAAATAATGGCAGCTGATCCACTTTCAAGTTCATCTGAAGTGCCATGACTCTCCAAAGAGAAAACTAGTCACATTTACCTCAGTACAGAAGACACTAAACAATGTCTTTTTTCAGCATTTTAATTACCAACAACAAGAGGCAGGCTTTGAATGTGGATCCCAGTTCCACCATTTACTATGAATAAATGGTATGTTTTAAATATTGGTTTATTGGTCCTAATTAACATAGACTTATTTGTCAAATATAACACATATTAAGTATATGTAAAAATAGTGTTTGGCAGCTGGGCACAGTGGTTCACAACTATAATCCCAGCACTTTGGGAGGCCAAGGCGGGAGGATTGCTTGCGCTCAGGAGTTTAAGACCAGCCTGGCCAACATGGCAAAATCCCATCTCTACAAAATATACAAAAACTACCAGAACATGGTGGTGGAACCCTGTAGTCCTAGCTACTCAGGAGGCTGAGGGAAGAGAATCGCTTGAACCCAGGAGGTGGAGGTTGCAGTGAGCCGAGATCACACCACTGCATTCCAGTGTGTGCGACAAAACAAGATTCTGTCTCAAAAAAAAAAACACTGTTTGGCATTCATAGGCTCTTAAATGGTGCCTATTTAAAAGGCTGTACATATTCCAGTGGGATGGGAAGCAGCAGAAACCAACAGTGTGAAGAAGCAAGCTTCAGAGTCACAAAAGCTTGGATTCGGAAGACTAACCTAGGAAAGTCCAGTTAAAGGGCCCACCTTTGCCATTCCCTGCTCCTTAATGCTGAACCTCATCCCCCACCAGGGGGCAGTCTCAGTAGATGTCAGCGAGTAACGTGTTATCTGGCCAGGCTAATTGCCCAGACATCCTTCTGCAATGGGTACTTCCTGATTATCAGTGCTCACTGATCCCTATATGTTTGGGAAGTTCCAAAGGTAGCACCAAGTACTCTAAGTATAGAGTACAAACATACACCACTAATTCTTTTTTTTTTTGAGCTTTCTAAGGCCGATTTCAGCTCTGATCTTGTGATTTAAAGAAAATGAGGTTATTGGAGTCTGGATTAAGGCCAGGCATGGCGACTCATGCCTGTAATTCCAGCATTTTGGGAGGCCAAGGCAGGCAGATCACCTGATGTCAGGAGTTTGAGAGCAGCCTGACCAATATGGTAAAACGCCGTCTCCACTAAAAATACAAAAATTAGCTGGGTGTGGTGGCAGGCACCTGTAATCCCCCCTACTCATGAGGCTGAGACGGAAGAATTGCTTGAACCTGGGAGGCGGAGGTTGCAGTAAGCCGAGATCAGGCCACTGCACTCCAGCCTGGGCAACAAAGCGAGACTCCATCTAGAAGAAAAAACAAAACACACACACAAAACAAAAATCATCCAGGTGTGGTGGCGCAGGCCTATAGTCCCAGCTACTCAGGAGTCTGAGGTACAAGAATCACTTGAACCAAGTAGGTGGAGGTTGCAGTGAGCCAAGAACATGCCACTGCACTCCATCATGGGTAACAGAGTAAGACTATGTCTCAAAAAATAGTAATAAGGCCGGGCGCGGTGGCTCAAGCCTGTAATCCCAGCACTTTGGGAGGCCGAGGCGGGTGATCACGAGGTCAAGAGATCAAGACCATCCTGGTCAACATGGTGAAACCCCGTCTCTACTAAAAATACAAAAAATTAGCTGGGCATGGTGGTGCGTGCCTATAATCCCAGCTACTTAGGAGGCTGAGGCAGGAGAATTGCCTGAACCCAGGAGGTGGAGGTTGCGGTGAGCCGAGATCGCGCCATTGCACTCCAGCCTGGGTAACATGAGTGAAACTCCGTCTCAAAATA